TTTTTTTTTTTTTTTTTTTTTTTTCTTTCACTTTGGTACTCAAATTTAAAAAAGTTTCACTGGCCTCCTCTTAGACCAAATTGATCTTCCGTTAGTTTTATTGTATTAATGTTGTTTATAGACCATATTGATCCTTCAGTTAGAATTTTTATGCTGCATATTTCCCAGTTCGTTACGTGTCACAAAGTTGACTAAGTTAGTAACTTAGTGTGATAAACTGAAAACAAGACCAACTTAATGATAAAGATGAAGGACCAAAAGTTTATTTTATCTACTTTCAAAACTTGGAAAACTTGAAAGGAGAAGAGAAGAATGAACGAGTTGAGTAAAAGTCAACTGAGAAGAGAGGTATGTGCGGTGACCTGGTTAGATTGTGAAAGTGAAGAGGGAAGGGTGATGAAGAAGGTAAGAGAGAGGATATGAAGGAGGATGAGTTGTGACATGAATCCCATTGCTACTACTCACTATTCAGCACTCAAATGCATCTTTCACCTTATCTTGTTTTATTGCTCAAACTGAACTTTGATTTTGCTATCTCAGTCAATGACAACGTGGATTAACGATTGAATGCCACGTGGTTAAACTCATCAGCTGTACAAGGCCAACACCTATTGATTCTATAGGTAGAAAAGTAAAGCACGAAACTTGATGCAGCATCAGTATTCTAATCATTTGGAGAATTTACATACCGAAGCTTATACAGGCAACATGAAATTTCAATTCTAATCATAATAGCATAAAAAATACTTGTAGCTAAATTTTGCTTAAAATAAGTTGTCTAGAACATTTTTCTGCCCAAAACTATAATTTTATTCTTTTGGGGGTTCCTTTTTTTGTTAAACCGTGTTGCTTGTATTTAACCAGAAGAATACATTTTGAGAAATAGTTACAAAAAAACACTTCTCAGTTCTCATCGACTATCCAAACAGGCTCACGTTGACTCTTGAGTGAGTGGTCGGAACAGTACCAAGTAGTGTATGCGCTATGTGGTTGTTCAACACATCACAATTCCTTCACATCTTCTCTCTTACCTTCTTCATTATCATTACCTCTTCACTTTCACAATCCAACCAGGACCAGGTTCACTATCTTATCTTCTATTTTCATTTTTTCATTTTCTCGTTTGCGTTGATCCAAGAGTTAGAACTTTGATTTCAACTTCAAGTGACTTTTAACTCGCTATATATGATCATTAGTAGTTTAGTACTGAACTGAGATTTTCATTTCCAACAAGTTCTCTGCTGAATCCATCTTGTCTTTTGGGAATGATCCAGTTTTGTGATGCTGGAACTGAAATTCCATCATCCAAGTTGTTGATCAAGAGTGGCACAGTTGTGAATGCTCACCACCAACATATTGCTGATGTTTACGTGGAAGATGGCATCATTGTTGCCGTTAATCCTAACATCAGGGTATTTGATGAAATTCCCTAGCAGTGCTTAATTTGCTTTGCAACGCCTTGCGTTTTTGTTACATTATGCTTTCTCATGTATGATTCATTTCCATTCCCAGGTTGGAGATGACGTCACTATCATAGATGCCACAGGCAAATATGTCATGCCAGGTTTCAATCATCAATTATAATTCATCACTTATTAGATTAAATTAGAATTCATGTACAGAGTAAATATTTTTTACCCTATCTATTGACGTCAAATTCTAAGATAGCATCAGATCAGACTCTTAGTGGTTGTTATCGAGTCTATCATGTTGCTGTCAGATTACCCTTAAATGACTAGTCTTTCAAATTTCTTATTTCAGATGTCTGGTTTTCGATGTGAAATGAGTGTGTTAAAGATCTCATGTTGATGTGTGATAAAATAATATATATAAGTCGGGGCAACTCATTGCCATTTATGAGATAAGTTTGGTGATTAGATTAAAAGTTTGTTTAGATACAAATTTAAAATTACTTTTGAAAGTTTCTCTATTAGAAATAACTCTTTATTTTTAGCAAAGAAGGTCGAAAAAATACTTCTAACTTGTATTCAAACAAGTTGTAAAAGTCATATATGAAATGATTTCTAATTGATTGAAGTTGTTGGTATAAAAAATGCATAGAAATTAAACTACTATTATTATTATTTTAATGTGCCTGACAATGAATGCTCCTTTTGTTAACTGGCCAGGGGGCATTGATCCTCACACTCATCTAGACTTTGATGTTGTTTTCACTACAACGGTTGATGACTTCTTCAGTGGCCAGGCGGCAGCATTGGCGGGTGGGACAACAATGCACATTGACTTCGTTATACCACTTAATGGGAGTTTGACAGCAGGTTTTGAAGACTATGAAAAGAAGGCAAAGAAGTCTTGCATGGATTATGGTTTCCATATGGTTATTACCAAATGGGATGAAACTGTTTCGAGAGAAATGGAGCTCGTGGTCAAGGAGAAAGGTTGTGATTTAGTATTTCCTTGCTGCATTTTGATAGTTTAGTTGATTATGTGGTAATAACCCTTTGGTTGAGTTGTGAGGAATTTATTCCAGGTAGTACATATTTGTTCTGTAATTGCAGGTATAAACTCTTTTAAGTTTTTCATGGCATACAAAGGAGCTCTTATGATCAACGATGAGCTTCTTCTGGAAGGATTTAAAAAATGCAAGTCTCTTGGTGCCTTAGCTATGGTACATGCGGAAAATGGGGATGCTGTGTATGAAGGCCAAAAGAAAATGATAGAACTTGGAATAACTGGTCCTGAGGGGCATGCACTTTCAAGGCCTGCAGTGGTAAATTCGCAAATTTATTCTTTTATAACGAATTCACTGACTAATGGGATGCTAAAATTGTGCATATGCCTGGTTTATTTCATCTTCTTCGTTGTCATACAAAACTATAACATACACAATTTTCAAGCTGGGGTCAAAATTTTGCATACTTACTGGTTTGACATTTATGGTGTTCCTAACTGTTGGGGTTATTTTATAGTATTTGTCTAAGAGAATATTTTATGATGGTTATTTTTATAAGATTATTACACAAACATACTCCACAATGATGAGATATTGTCCACTTTAGGCCTTAGCCTTCACGGTTTTGCTTTTGGTCATTACCCAAAAGGTCTCTCAATCATTGAAATATGTTTATGCTATATAAGTTATTATTTTTATCATATTTTATCGATGTGGGACTTGTTTGTATCCCAACACTAATCCCCCCACATTTGACATTGTTACATGTGTAGTTGGAAGGAGAGGCAACTGCTCGTGCTATCCGCTTAGCAGATTTTGTGAATACTCCTTTATACGTGGTTCACGTAATGAGCATTGATGCAATGGAAGAAATTGCCAAAGCCCGGAAATCAGGTTCTTTTATGCTTTTGGTGTTGGTCTTAACTTTTATTCATGTATGCATTCATCTCAATGAAGATGAACAAAAGGATCTCTATACATTTCCCATATGATATTTTAAGTGTTATTTCTCCCTGATAACATTTTTTGTAATAGTAAGGTCACATGTTTGTTCTTGACCTGCAGGACAAAGGATAATTGGGGAACCTGTTGCCTCTGGGTTAGCCCTTGATGAATCTTGGCTTTGGCATCCTGACTTTGAGACTGCAGCAAAGCAAGTGCCTTCACTTGTTTCAATGTTTTTTATTGCCTTCAATTTTATGAACATAAGCCTTACTCATTTCATTCTCATGTTTTAGGTATGTCATGAGTCCCCCTATTAGGAAACGAGGACATGATAAGGCCCTTCAAGCTGCCCTTTCAACAGGAATTTTGCAGGTTTCACATTATGATTCATGCTTACATAGGTTCAATAACCATTTGAACATAAGGGTTTGAGTTTTAGGAAGTAATTAGAATAGTCTCAGCCATGAAATGCGTCCTAAGTCTTAGCATTTTCCATTATTTTTTATCTATTTATTGAACTCAATTTTGTTCTTTCCACTATGATTGTTTATTTGACCTTGAACAAATTTGCAGCTGGTAGGAACAGATCATTGTGCCTTTAATTCCACCCAAAAAGCTCGTGGAATTGATGACTTCCGGAAAATGCCTAATGGTGTCAATGGTAATCGCATTAAGATCCAGGATATTTGTGGCTTAAGTACATTCTCGCTGATTTTGAAATGTTTTCTTACTGACAAACATTGCAACCAAAAATCTGTAGGCATTGAAGAAAGAATGCATTTGGTATGGGACATCATGGTGGTAAGATATCAATTACCAGCTTAGCACTCTATTGCTGTTCAGGTTGGAGTAAAATGGTGGAGAGGATAACCTTTTAACTACAACTTATGGTTTTATATATTTCACAGGAATCTGGCCAAATATCTGTCACTGACTATGTCCGGTTAACGAGCACTGAATGGTATATTTTCAGTTAATCAAAGTAAAAATTAGCCTTCAAATGTTTGTTTTGTAAAGATGCCAAATGCCAAAAGCTAAAAGCATCACTAATGTTTTTTATCTCTACAATCATTCATTTCAGTGCTAGAATCTTCAATATATATCCAAGGAAAGGAGCTATTCTCCCGGGATCTGATGCAGATATTATCATCCTCAATCCAAATTCAAGCTTTGAGATCAGTGCAAAGTCTCACCATTCCAGATTGGACACAAATATTTATGAGGGAAGGAGAGGAAAGGTACTGGTTTAAATATAATCTGGTCAATACAAGGATATAAGTTAGTTAACCGTGAACCAGCTATTTAGAGTCTTGTTTTCTATTAGAATTGGTGTTTTATTTTGTTAACAAGCATTGACATTTTATGAAATCCTTTATTAAACTAACAACACCTATGATACTTGTTTTTGTTTGTATATAATCGAAGCCTTGTCATGCAATATCAAGATTCAAAGTTTTTTCTTTCCTCTCCTTTTCCCAGGGAAACATTGAAGTGACTATTGCAGGAGGAAGAGTTGTTTGGGAAAATAATGAACTGAAGGTGGCTCCTGGAACTGGGAGATACATCAAAATGCCACCTTTTAGTTATGTGTTTGATGGAGTGGATAAGAAGGATGCCATTTATCTAAATTCCCTTCAAGCCCCAGTGAAGCGACCCAAAACCAGCTCTTAGAAAATTTCTGATATACAAAGAAGCTAATCCAGTTCTGTGTATAAATAAAGAAAAATATGTATATCCAACTTTTGAGATGCCTTGAATTTATATTTTGTCCGTTACTATTTCTAATGAGGCTGTTATATTTTATCTTTGTTATAAGGCTAAAAGGCATCTGTATCATAAATCTCTATTCATTCAGAAATAAAAAAACTCTTGAACTGCCCGTGTACGTAGGTCACATTGACTGAACCACGTAATTTGTATGTCGTCTTTTTTCTCTTGATCTCTTTCTTTTACATATTGTCATAATAATTGGTATGAGAGTTCTAGGTTACGCTAGGGCCTGATCTGAAGAAACACAATGTCTTCGTACAAATTCGATATTGATAAATTTAATGGATCGAATGATTTCACTTTGTGGAAATTGAAGATGAAAACAGTTCTTGTGCATCAGGGTTGCACTGCAGCACTAGAGGGTGCGGATAAATTACCCACGACTATGACTGATGATGTAAAGAACGCGATGTTGGAAAAGGCGCACAGTTTGATTCTCTTGAGTTTGACTGATGAGGTTCTGCGAGAGGTAGGTGAAGAGACAACGGCTACAGGGATGTGGAAGATGTTGGAAGATAAATTTCAGAAGAAATCCCTAACCAATCGGTTGTATCAGAAGCAACGTCTCTATACCTTGCAGATGTCTGAGAATATGTCTGTGAGAGATCATCTTGATAATTTTAACCGAATTATCTTGGACCTACAGAGTATTGGAGTTAAAGTTGATGATGAGGATCTAGCTATTATTTTGTTATGCTCTCTGCCAAAATCATATGAGAATTTTATTGATACTATGTTGTATGGTAGGGATAGTATTAGTGTCAACAATGTGAAGGACAACTTACAATATAAAGAATTGAAGAGAAGAGTAGTCTCTAGTTCTAATGGGGATGATGTAGGTCTAACAGTTAGCAGAGGCAGAAGCATGGAGATAAACAAGGGTACAATTTTTCAGGAAATGATGGACATATTATAGTTTCTAAAGGTGCTCTGGTTATTATGAAAGGAAAGTTACAACATGGAATTTATGTTATGCTTGGCAATTCCTTTCAGGAAACGGTGTCTATATCTCATTCCTTAGAGCAACATGTTGATAATACAAAATTATGGTATTGTAGGTTGGGACATATGAGTGAGCGTGGACTTGTAGTGTTGAGTAAACAAGGACTGTTGGGTGGAGCGGTGACAGGGAAATTGAAGTTCTGTGAATCTTGTGTTATGGGTAAACAAAGCAGGCTGAAATTTAGTTACGGTAAGCACACTTCAACCGAAATATTGCAATATGTTTATTTTGATTTATGGGGTCCTTCCCCAGTTCAGTCCCATGGAAGGAGTAGGTATTTTGTGACGTTTATTGATGACTACTCTAGAAAGGTTTGGGTGTATTTTTTGAAGTCCAAGGATGAAGTGTTTGAGCGTTTCAGGGAGTGAAAGACTATGGTTGAGAAACGAACCGAGAAATTAATCAAGACTTTAAGAACAAATAATGGACTGGAGTTCTGCAATGCATTATTTGATGATTACTGTAAAGAAGCAGGAATAGTCAGACACCTCACAGTGAGACATACACCACAACAGAATGACGTTGCTGAACGGATGAATCAAACACTACTTCAGCGTGCTCGCTGCATGCGTTTAAATGTTGGTCTCTCAAAAGAATTTTGGGCTGAAGCAGTTAATACTGTTGCATATTTGGTGAACAAGTCTCCATCTACTGCAATTGACTTAAAGACTCCTCAGGAGGTATGGTCTGGTAAACCTTCATATTTGGTTGTCCTGCTTATGCTCATGTTAATGATAGTAAATTAGAGCCTAGGGCAATGAAATGTATATTTCTTGGGTATCCTACAAGTGTCAAAGGATATAGATTATGGTGTACTGAAAATAACAGAACAAAAAAATTTGTTATTAATAGAGATGTTACTTATAATGAGTCTGCTATGTTTGGTCAAAAAGAAGAGGTTGAAAATCTTGTAGGAAATAAAAGTACAAATAAGGGAGTTCATCAGAAGGTGGAGCTTGAGGTTGAAGATTCAAATAAAGAAAATTTGAATCCTTTGGAACAATCCAGTAATGTTTGAGAGTGCCTCAAAGCATAACAACAAAGAGAACAAGGAGGGAAATCAGAAAACCTACGAGATATGCAGATGTTACTAATGTTGTTGATACTAACTCTGTTGCATATGCCTTGGTAGTTGGTGAAAATCTTGATTCTGATGAGCCTACAGCCTATAAGGAGGCAATTCAAAGTAAAGAAGCCTCGAAATGGCTAATTGCCATGGATGAGGAGATGCAATCACTTAAGAAAAATCAAACCTGGGAGTTAGTACCATTACCTAGAGGTGTGAAGCCGGTGGGATGCAAATGAGTGTTAAAAAAGAAAGAAGGGATTCCTGGTGTTGAACCATCCAGGTTCAAGGCAAGACTTGTGGCAAGAGGTTTTTCACAGAAAGAGGGAATTGACTACCATGAAGTGTTCTCGCTTGTGGTAAAACATAAGACTATTCGAGTTCTGTTGGCTATGGTGAGTGCTTTGGATATGGAGTTAGAGCAGCTTGACGTGAAAACTACATTCTTGGATGGAAATTTAGAAGAGCAGATTTACATGTCACAGCCAGATGGATTCCTTGAGACCGAAAAAGAGAACCATGTGTGTTTGTTGAAAAAATCCTTGTATGGTTTCAAACAGAGCCCGAGGCAGTGGTACAAGAGGTTTGATGCTTTTATGATTTCCTATAATTTTGTTTGAAATAAGTTTGATAACTATGTTTATAGTAAGAAGCTATCAGATGGTTCCTATATATATTTGTTGTTGTATGTGGATGACATGCTAATTGCAGCTAAGAGCAAGACTGATATTGATGCTCTTAAAGCTATGTTGAGCAGTGAGTTTGAGATGATGGATTTGGGTGCGACCAAGAAGATTTTAGGAATGGAGATTTTGAGAGACAGGAATGCAGGTCTACTTTATGTATCTCAGAAAAAATACATTGAAAAGTTGTTGTAGTCTTTTCAAATGGAGAATTTTAAGCCTGTTAGTACTCTTTTGGCAACACATTTTAAACTTGATGCTAGCACTCTTCCTAATACTGATGAAGAGAAAGAGTATATGAATACGGTTCCTTATTCTAGTGCTGTTGGGAGCTTAATGTATGTCATGGTTTGTACAAGACCAGATTTGGCTCATGCTGTGAGTGTGGTTAGTAGATTTATGAGTAATCCTGGAAAGGCTCATTGGGAGGTTGTGAAGTGGATTATGCGATATTTGAAAGGTACTAGTAATATCTGCTTAGTTTATGGTTCTAATGATATTGGGTGTGGTCTTATTGGCTATGCAGATTCTGACTATGGTGGAGATCTCGTGAGGAGAAGATCTTTGACATGTTATATCTTCACTCTTTATGGTTGTGCTGTTAGTTGGAAAGCAACACTTTAACCTACTGTTGCTTTGTCTACCACTAAAGCGGAATACATGTCCTTGACAGAAGGGGTTAAAGAAGGTATATGGTTGCAAAGTCTTATTGATAGTTTGGGTTTGAATGTGCAGAGACGTATACTTTATTGTGATAGTCAAAGTGCTTTTGTGTTTGGCAAAAAATCCAGTCTATCACGAAAGATCAAAGCATATTGATGTCAGATTGAATTTCATACGAGATGTAATTGAAGACAAATTGTTCTCCATAGAAAAGATAGCTACTATAGACAATCCAGCAGATATGTTGACTAAACCTCTGTCTTTTGAAAAGTTTAAGCATAGCTTGGACTTGGTGAATGTTTGCATCGCTTGAGACCCTTCGGTGAGAATAGACAGGAGAGTTGTTCTTGGTTACTGGTGACTTGGGAAAATTCAAGTCAAGGTGGAGAATTGTTGAGATGCCTTGAATTTATATTTTGTCTGTTACTATTTCCACTGTTATTTGAGTTGTAATGAGGCTGTTATATTTTATCTTGTTATAAGACTAAAAGGCATCTGTATCATAAATCTCTATTCATTCAGAAATAAAAAAAATTCTTGAATTGCTCGTGGACGTAGGTCACATTGGCTGAACCACGTAATTTGTGTGTCGTCTTTTTTCTCTTCATCTCTTTCTTTTACATATTGTCATAACAAATATGTGTGTGGTAACTCCCAATGCTCAACAAGTGGTATGAGAGCCGATGGTCTGGTCAGGTGATCGGCTCGACGGGTATGATGGCTGACAGGTGGATCTAAGTTTGAGATCCCTTGTGTCGAAAGTCTTCCTAAACGGTGGAAGGTTAGGAGGCGTGTCCCGCTATCATGAGGGAGGTCATGATGGAGCGGCGGTGCAAGTACTTAGAGTGTGAATGACCTTTGTGGGCCACCATCGGATAATACTCGTGGACGTGGATAAGTAGTTTTCGCTGCAGGGGAGGGGATAAACCATGGTCCTTTGTTTGAGGAGAAGATTGTTGGAATGTCGTTCAAACAAGATGATGAACATGGGTTTATATACACATAGTTGTCTCTATTGGTAGAGAGGCCTTTTGGGTGATGTCCAAAAATAAAGCCGTAAGAATTTGGTCCCAAAGCGGACAATATCTTACCGACGTGAAGACATGTGTATGTATGTGGTAATTCCCGAGACTCAACACCAACATATTTGGATACAAGTTTAGATGTTGATATAGGCTCAGATTTTTTTTATTTAATTTTAAATAGGGTGTGAAGTTTGAATCTTATTTATCCGACAAAAACATAGATGAGTGGAGAGAATTTTTAAGCTGGTGTCGAGTTTGAATCTTTGAAGCATGTTAGAAGTGGTCAGGACATCGATCAATAATGATATTATCCATCGACGCATAGCAAAACTGTGGCATACCAATATTTGTGATAAAAAAAAATTGTGTAAAACATCAATAAATAAAAATAAATTATTTTTTACAATATGAATTATATATTATAAATTTAAAATATAATTTATATGTATAAAATATCTATTTATATAAATTTTTAATATAATTTATATATTCAAATATTTCTTTATTACAATATATTAAAATTTTTAATTATATATAATATTATATTATAGATACTAAAATACTAGTGTATATTACGCTTGATCAATCATTTTGTGTAAAGTGTTTTTCTATATTTTTTATTCAACAAGAAGATTTTATAATTTTTTTTTACCTTTTATCTAATATAATTTTTTTTTATCATATGTATTTATAAATTGAATTTTAATATTTTAAATAAATTATTGTTACTTATAAATAATTTTTTATTACAATATAAATTATTTATTAATATAATTTATAATTAAAAATATTTATTTGTAAAATTTTTAATATAATTCATTTATTAAATATGATATTTTTATATAACAAACATTTAGCAGTGAAATCCAGCGATTAAAATATCAGAAAATTAGATGACTACTAAATTGAATATTACAGACAAAAGCAAAAATTCATTATAACCCAAATCACGAAGAAGGAAAGGAGAAGATAAAAGAAAGATTAGGAGAGAAAATTATGTTCAACATAATCTTTAATCTCTATTTAAAATGTAAATTATGGTTTTCATAGCATTCTCATTTCTCACCATCATTATTATTTATTTGTAATCCTTAAAATAGTAGAACTAAAAAAGAAGAGGGAAAACGAAAGCCCCAAACTCGAGTGCTGCAACCAGTGGCGACGCCGTTAACCTCAAAACGACACTCGATGGAGCCATCGTCGTCGTTGTTAGGGTTCGAAGAAGAGGCGAAGGTGTCTTCATCAAGTGCCCGAAGATTGGTCCCTTGGTTGAACTGGCACGAGTGGCTCTTCGTTAAACACGCTCTCTTCTCCGATTCCCCTCACTCTGCTCTCAAACGAGTACGTTTCTTAAGTCTTAACCATACTATTTCAATACCACACCGTAACTTCATGCAAACCTAATCATATTCATATATATGTTTTCAGATATCCGCATGGCGAAGTCGAGCTTCTTTGCCGGTTCTCATCGAAGTCACCGCTTCCATCATCGAAATTCAACTCAAAGATCCCTGTTTCAGGTAACCCTAACTCATCTCCTTATGTATGTATCTATCTGTGTATGTATTAATTAAAGCAATTTTGTTTGATTTAATTCTAGACAGGATGAATCCAATGATGCTTCTCTTTCCGAGGAGATGCTTGCTATGCTGTATTGCATGGCAATCATGAGGTATGCTCGGTGCTCACTATGTATTTTATTTTTGCCAATAATAATTATTTTTTGAAAATTTCTCTTGCGAGGTATAACTGTTTCGCTATTTGCATTTTCAAGGCTTGTGAATGGTGTTATTGAGAAGACGCGCAAGAAAGAGGTGGCGTCCATAGCAGTGGCAGCTGATGCCATTGGTATTCCGCGCATGCTGATTGATATTCGCCATGGTGAGCAAGTCTCCCCCTACTCTTGTTAATTGTTGTGCTGGTAGACTTGGATGTGAATGTGATCTTTGTAGTGGTCAAAGAAGTTCACACATTTGCTTGTTTTATTGTGGTTTTAGAGTGACCTGCTTTTGGTCTAACTAATTGCTGTTATTGCAGAGGGATCACATCGGGAGCTTCCGTCACTTAAGATTGTTCGTAGCGCTTCTATTAAGGTATGGCTCAACAATCTTTCTATTTTCTTGTGATTTAATTCTTAGCAAGTGTGTGTATTGTCCATGGCGAGGTTGGGCTTTTAGCATTAAGGAAATAATTGGACTGAATTTCTTTCCCAAGGTCTGTGTGTAAGTCTAACATAACAGTTTTGAATATATGAACAAAATATCATGTTGCTCTGGTAATGGTATCAAAGGACAGAGTATGTGCATGTTAGTCACTGAAATCTAAGCTATATTTGCAACAGGAAAAAAATATATTATTTTCTGTTTGTAATAACTGTCAGATTACTTTCATACATTCATTTTTCCCTCCTTTATACAATTCTTTTACATTGTGCTTTAGTTATTTAATTCATGATATGATGATCCAATTCAAATGATAGCCGACATCATTAATCATTAATTATCCAAGCTATTCTCTAAACTCAGTTCATGTCATGGGACTTTGGTGAGAAACTAGCTAGTTGTTTTATCACTTTCAATGTGCCAGCTTGACTATGTCATGTTAGAAAGTGATGTTCTAATCTACCTTGTGGTTTGAAGTTATCATCATCCTCTGAATCTGATTTTCTTTACATTTTAAATTCTTCTATTTGGGTTTTTTTTATTTGGGGGGGGGGGGGGG